AAAAGCTTCCCCAAGCTGGTGCTCCCGAACGACTGACGGGGACGATGGGGGCTGGAGCACAAGGGGCAACTGCCCAGCCACAGATGCGCTGCCCCGAGACAGTAGGACATCCAGAGGAAGTTTTGCTGGCGGGTGATGAGAAGCTCCACTTCGCATCTTCTCCAGGCCACGAATCGGCGGTGGGCTGCCCACTCTCAGCCTGGCATGCCACACAGGCTGGGGAGAAGGGCGGGCAGCAGCCAGACAACAAAGCCTTGTGCGGGACAAAGGAGAAGATATTTCAGTTGTCGTGTGTGGGAGGTGCTCTGGAGGGAGCCCGTGGCGTGGGGTGGACGACGTTTATTTTTGCAAAGGGCACTGGCACCGTGAAAAAAGCAGCCACAGAGGGCTGCGCTGGGTTTCTTCTCCCCTGTGGCCGCTCCTGAACGTAGCTTCCTTCCCCGGTAGCTCAGCACGGAGTCATTTTTCCCCCTCCCTCCCCGCTCGCTTTTATTGTTTTCCCGAGATTTATAGACTGTTTTCCCAGACCCATTGTGAGTGGCGCGCTCCCTTCCAAAGGCCGTTTTTTTCCCACGGGCCAGGCGCCAACTCCAAAGCCTGCGAACAGGCTTCCAGGAAAGCGTCCGTCCAAATGGATGACCCTCCATGTCGGGAGACAGTCCACCTGCAAAACGCAGCCCTTCCATCTGGCCTGGTGCAGAAGAAAGGCCCGACCGGGAGGCGCAGAAGGGGATCCGCGGGAATTTTCTGCCCCAGCCGCAAAAACGTCCCAGGCCCGGCCTGCTGGACGCAGCCGCCCGGCCTGGGCATCTCTGAGGCTTTCCCGCCCCTGTGGAGAACAAAGCCGTGCCGGCCCCCCGCCCTTGCCAAGGCCTCCTGTTTATTTCCCAGATGATTTAAACAGCCCAGAGTTTCTCTGCCGGCAACCGTTCGCCCCTCCGAGGACGACGGGCGGGCGTCCAGGAAGCGCCCAGCCTCCCTCTCGCTCGGATCATGTGCGCTGAACAAAAGGACCCTTTGTTGCAAAGACGCAGAGAGAAAGATACGCGGCTCAGACGGAAAAGGGCCTTGAAATGCATCTGGCAGGGAGAGAATTTCCTTCTCGCGCAGAAGAAAGGGCTGCCGGGGGTCTGGCCCACCCGTTGCTGGCAAAGACATCATTGCCTCCTGGTGACGTCACAGACGCAGCCATGTTTTCTCAGCAGCAGCAGCAGTAGCAGAGAAGCCTTTGGCCTCGCGGAGATATTTTCTCCAGCTGCCAGGGTAGAAGCCATCTGTAGGGTTTACCGGTGGTCTCCCATCCAAGCACAAACCAGGTCTGACTTGGTTTAGCTTCCCAAGATGAGCTAAGGAGGACTAAGCCGGCAGTGGGCTAGAACTGTCCAACACGCTAAGCTATGAACCATGGTTTATAAGCCACAACGGCTGAGTTCACATGAACCCAAAGCTACAGCAGCCGCCTCTTAACTTAGCACCGTGCAAACCCAACCGATTCTTCCATCGGGGCAGGATTCCCCTTCTTGCAAACGGTGGACGCAGAGAAGGTGGGCCTACGAATGCATAGCGGAACTGGACGGCGTTGCTCTGAAATGCCCCAAATTCACCCAGTGGGGTTTAGCTTGTCCTTTGTCCTCTACACTGGTGGCGGCAGTTTCTGATGTTCACCGGGGTGCGGGTGCGCGGCCTGACGGGCTGAGCGACGACCAACGTCCGAACGCTGCAAAGCACGCATAAACCCCCAAGGCGGGTCCATGGCGTCCCACCCCTGACCACGAGGCCCAACTTTTCAATGGCTCGGGGTTCCCAAGCCAAAAGGGAAAGATCCCCGTGGAGTTTCCTTGAGGGAAGGGACGTTGTCGAGGCGGCTGAGACCGGAGAGGACGGGACCCTCAAAAGAGAAAGGGCCACAGAGGTCAACGAGACCGGGAACATGTCTCGGGTGGTTTCCGACGGCCCAATTCATGGCCGCAGGCTGGTGGCAACCAAAGCTTTGCCAGGAACTCATTCGAAGGTCTCTGAGCTCCGCCTCTGCCAGCCCGAGGTTTTTCCCCACTGCTTTTTCCCTCTCCCCACTGCTGACCTGCTCTCCACCCGTCCTTGGGTCAGCAGCGGGCGTGAAATCGGACGCCTCCCTCGCTGGCCCCTCCCCGCCTTCGCTCCAAAACCGAGCAGATTTTGCACCAACCACCCGACCTCTCCTGGGACAGGGGGAAGATCCTGTCTTAACCCCAGTCCAGGCTCAGTGCTTCTGGGCCGAGGGCGGGAGGACAGCAGCGTCCTGGGAGAGGCCAAAGGTGCGGAGGGAACAGGGGTCCCTTTGGCCAGATGCCCCCAATGACCCCCGTCAGAAGGGTCGGGAAAAAAGCCAGGCTGAGACCCAAAGTCTTATCCCGGCTTAGAACATCAGGAAGTTTGCAGCTGTGGGAGCAATTCCAAAACGTGGCTATTCGGGGTTGGAAATGCCTCGTAGGGCCTAATCCCAGGCTGGCCCCAATCCTTTGGGAACTAGCCCAACAGCCGGGCTGGGGATGATGGGAGACAGGCTTTCCAAGAGCCCTGGGCCAGGGACGGGTAGGAAAACCCTGGGTCACCTCTCTGATGATTCTTCTATTTGCAGTTTGCCCCACTAAGCGGGAATCTATTTATAATGCTGGCTGGCCCAGAAAAAGTCTCCAGCTGAATTTGCCCCATGAACGAATCATGGAAGAAATCAATAATAATAACAACATCAACAATAAACAAACTTCCTGCTTAGAAGTGTTGTCTCTGATGTACAAATACACAGCCACAGCCTGTAGCAGAGTATATCATGGTGTTTGCCGTGAAGACCCGAGCCCTTGCACTCGTGTGCACACACACGTAAAGGAAGACCCGTTCACACCTGTGTGACGCAGCAAGTTCGACCTTGCAGGGGTGGGACGCAGAGAAAGGATGGGGAAGGGAAGGCAGTTGGAAGATTTGAGAAGATGTCCTTGAAAATCCATTGATATCCCTTAGGACAGTGTTGTCCAAACTTGGCCACTTTAAGATGAGTGGACTTCAGCATGGCTGGCTGGGGAATTCTGGGAGTTGAAGTCCACTCATCTTAAAGTGGCCAAGTTTGGACAACACTGCCTTAGGATCTCAACACACACCCCTCCCAACACCCGTGATGGCGTTTGGGGGAACAAGCCTCCTTTTTGCAGTTTTCAGCACCCCTATTCTATAACTCATTTCGTGGCTGATGGGAATCCACCCTAAGGACAGTGTTGGCCTTCACACAAAATTAGAAAGAGGGTCCCCCTCAAAACATGCTCCCCGCTTTTTAGACTGTGGACCTGCAGCTAGGAAGGTTTTCCCCCCTCTGTGTGAAAGGCAGAGATTTTCTTTTCTTTTCTTAAAAACTCGCTCTGAGTTGAATGGTCTTATTTCCACGAGCAGGAGGCACGAGGGACTGTAAAATACCTTCCGGAGGAGCCCAAAGTGAGCAGATAATGCCGCAGGCATTGTGTTGTTTTATTTTTAATCTGTTCTTTCAAAAACCAAAATTTCTAGGGATTGTTCCCATGTTCCCTCCCCACCCTTCTATTTCCAAGAATGCAGGAAAGCCATAAACTTTCTAAAAA